AAAAAAAAAAGCCCCCCCCATTTTAGTCTTTTTGGAAAAAAAAAAAAAAAAAAAAAAAGCCATGACATTGGTGTAGGGCAAATCGGAGTTATAAATAACAAAAGAAACTGTCACGGGAATTAGAGCTCTCATAATCACAGCTAGGCACGCTTTCTGAACCTAGACAAATCTTTCATTCTCTTTCGACCTTGGTTTTTGCGTGTGTAAACTAAGAATGGCTGTTTAAGAGATTTCTAAAAAGTCCCTTCTAATTGTAAATTCTACTTTTTAACAACATATGTGACTTGTGAGTTGAATATGTACTATGTGCGAAAGTAGGGCAAATGCAAAGACTATTACCCAAGTGAAAAAGGAAAGTAGTAAAATTAATACAACTATAAATACAACTAAGCTATGAAAAAAATAAAAGGGGATAATATAGAAAATAAATGGGTTAGCGGCCGGTAGGTGGTGTGATGGTTAAGGGTGAGGGACTCCCATATGGCCAACCACGGTTTGCATCCCCAATGACCCAGAGGCTTGCTTTCTCTCTCTCTCGTCAAATTTAAATGAAATAAATAAAATAATAAAAGAAAATAAATTGGATGGACTGGAGAACCTACAATAGTTTAGAAGAATGATCTAAGAAAACCATCTATGGGGACCAGCAGTTAGCATACTGGCTATGTCGCTGAACTCCCATGTAGTTGACTGCGGTTCAGGACCGGGTGGCTTAAACTCACGCCAGGCGCTTGTGCGTGTGTGCCCAAGATCCCGAGAGGAGCACGGAGGAGAAGGGATTAGGGCATGGCCATCCCCCCTGGGGGGAGCGAGGTGATTTCTCGCTTTCTATCTCTCTGTCTGTCTCTGTCTTCCTGGCGAGCACACGCGCCCTGTAGCAAAAACCTCTTCAAAAAAAAAAAAAGAAAAAAAGAAAAAGAAAGCCATCTATGAAAAGATGACATCAAAAGTGAAAGTGAAGGCTGGCAGGAGGAATGGCAGTTGGGACACAGGACTTCCACATATCCAATCATGGTTCAAGTCCTGGACCTGGCAACTTGCTTTCTCTCTTTCTCTCTCTCGCCCTGTCTCTCTCTAGTCAAATTAAAAGATAATAAGTAAAATTAAATAAAATAATTCTTTTAAAAAAATGTTCAAGTGCAAGTGAAGAAAGAGGTGGAAATGAAGAAAGATGGAAAAGAAAAAGCAACATACCTATTCTGGGAAATAAAAGACCTGAGACAGCCAGCCCGTGGCCTTGTGGGTTAAGGGGTCTGAATCCCAGATGATCACTGTGCAGTTCGAATCTCAGACACAATGAAAAACACCACACACCAGGTACATGTGTGCATGTGCCCATAATCCTGAAACTAGGGAGAAATGGGGAAGAGACTGCGTTTCGAACATGCTGCATCGGGGGTGCATTCTCACTATCCTCCTTCCCCAACTGCCCCAGCTCTCTCAGGCTCTCTCTAATGAGCATACACGCCCTCTGGCAAAATGTCTTTTAAAAAGACATGGGAGAGGGGCTGGCAGGTGGTATGGTGGTTAAGGTGCTGGACTCCCATGTGGTCGACTGCAGTTCAAGTTCGGACCTGGTGGCTTGATTTCTCACTTTCTCTTTCTGGTCAACTTAATAATAAATAAATAAATAAATAAATAAATAAATAAATAATTATTTTAAAACAACAACCTGGGAGACTAGAACATGAAAAGCAAAGTGATGTGAGTGAGAACAAAGAGAGAGGCAGAAAGACTTTATTGTAAATACAATTACGTCATTGAAAGTTTTAATCAGAGGAGGGTTGTGATCTGATCTATGTTTTTTCCTGTTTTTTTTTCCCCAAGAATTATTTAACTTTTTACTTAATGTTATTTATTTATTTATTTATTTATTTTTGACCAGAGAGAGAAAAAGGGAAAGTGAGAAAGCAAGTTGCCGGGTCCAGGACTCGAACTGTGGTCAGCCATGTGGGAATCTAGCACCTTAACTACCACACCACCTACTGGCCCCATGATCTTTGTTTTTAAAAGAACTTTCTAGTTTTCAACAAATAGTGCCAAAACAGCTGGGTATCCATATGCAAAAGAATGAAGTTAGACCTCTACTTAAACTATACACAAAAATTAACTCAAATTGGATCAAAGTCATAAATCTGAGAGCTAAAACTCTAAAGGTCTTAGAAGAAAAATACGAATAAATCTCTATGATCTGGGATTAGGCAAAAATTTACAGATATGACATCAAAGCAACAAAAGAAAAAATAGACGAATTGTGTGTCTTGAAAATTAAAAATTTTGTGCTGCAAAAATACCATCAAGAAAGTAAAAAGGGGTCCCGTCATAGTGGTGCAGGCAGCCAATATTGCTGCCCATACTGCAGCCATATGAGAGGTTTGGATCCCAGGTCGACCTGAACTTGTATGGTGTGCCCATGTGTGCTTGTGGTCCTGGCTGGCTGGGAAGCTGAGAGGAGGCACAGCATGGCACATTGTCAAGGGGCCGTCTCTCTCTCTTTTTCTTTGTCTTTCATGAAATAAATAAAAATAGAGGCGAGCAGTTGGTGTGGTGGTTAAGGCGCTGGACTCCCAGATGGCAACTGCAGTTCAAGTCTGTGACCTGGCAGTTTGAAACTCATGCTGGGTGCATGTGTGTGCATGTCCAAAATCCCAGGAGGAGAATGGAGAGAAGGGATTACTGTATGGCCATCCTTCCTGTGGGGGATGATTTCTCACTTTCCTTCTTGCTGTCTTTCTCCAGTGAGCACATGTATTCCATGGCAAAAAAAAAAAAAAAAAGAAAGAAAAATAAGCTTTGAAAATAAGAGGAAGGATAGCCAGGGGTTAAAGAAAAAAAGAAAGGGAAAGAAAGAGTAAGAAGGCAAACAACCCACAGAAGGGGAGAAAATATTTGCATATATTTAAAGAACTTATATCCAGCATTTATAATGAACTCTTACTCTTTATTTTTTCAGGTTTTTTTTTTTTTTTCATAGGGTGCATGAGCTTGCCAAAAAGAGACAGAGAGACAGTGGGAGGGAAAGTGAGAAATTACTTTCCGAGGGGGATGGCCATGCCCCAATCCCTTCTCCTCCATTCTCCTCCTAAGATTTTGGGCATAGCGGTTAGGATGGCTGGATCCCACATGGCCAACGAGTCATGGACACAGCAGCTGAGCTGGCGCATGCGCGTTTATGCCCAAAATCCTGGGAAGATGGAAGAGGAGGGATTGAGTTGCAGCCATCCCCGGCGGGGGTTGCTTTTTAACTTTCCCTCACTCTTTCTCTCTCTCTCTCTCTCTCTCTCTCTCTCTCTCTCTCCAGGGAATACATGTGCCTGGTAGCAAATATAAAAAATATAAGCCCATGAATGTATGCTTTCCTTAGAGTAATGGTGGGCATGACAGAGGAGCATGCCAATCCAGTGCTGAGGGACATGATGACTCTTCAGTCTCAGAACCCCAGAAGTGTTTTGTCATTGTTCTTGATGAGGAGGAGACTTGGGGGTTGACTCATGCTAACAAAACTTACTACTGTAGCAACTGGAAAGACAGGTTCAGTTAATACTGGGAAATACGGTCCAGAGTACTCAGGTTTGAGTGTCAGCACATTTTGGTGTAAGGAACTTAATAGAAGGGGGCCAGATGATGGCGCACTGGTAAAACACACTGTTCTGCCAGGCTGACCCAAATGGGAGGGTTCTGGTTTCAAGTCTGGAGGCCTCCCTGAGAGTGCCGGGTATACATGTGCCCATGACCCATGGCAAGCTGAGACTGGGGTGGATCACAGCATGGAGACTGCTCAGGATTTTGTCTCTTTCTCTCTGTGTTTTTCTTCCTCATGGAAAAGTATATAAATTTTAAAAAGGAAAGAAAAAAAGAAACTCAACAGGATACACTACATTATTATAAAAAGATTACATGGCGTTGATGGAATCATGGAGCCAGGAGTGTTGGTTGGATAGAGGTTTCGTTTCTTTTCTTTTTTTTAAGCAAAACCTTTCTGTTGATGTTGTTGTTATAAACTAAGGCTGTTTCTGACTGTTTCACAAGGAAAAAGGAAGATACAAGAGTTGAATAAAGAAAACAAAGAAATGCACTTTTCCGACAGCGCCCAAGTAGGATCTGTTCACCTCTGTGGAGAGTTCAAGGTGACTTTCGCAGCAGTCTAGCTGGATTATAGACCAGTGTATCCTCTTCCACGGGCAGAAGCTGAATAGCAGTGGTTAAGGTCCTAGGCTGTGGTGTCAGACTGTCATGCAGGTTCTACATGTTACCTAACCTCTTTCTTTCCTCTCCTGTAAACTGTAGCGATAGAGGCCAGCTGGTGGTGTGGTGGTTGGGGCAACTGGATGCTACATCGCTAATGGCGCAGTTCAAGTCTCGGTCACGGTGGCTTGAAAGACACGCCGGGCACACGCCTGCACGTGCCCAAACTCCTACGAGGAGAGTGGAAGAGAAGGAGTTGTGGCATGGCCATTCCCTCTGGGGATGCTTTCTCACTTTTCCTTTCTCTCTGTCTCTCTGTCTCTCTGGCAAGAGTATGTGTTCACTGACAAATGGGCACTTAGACTCGTGCCTGACACATGAAGTGGTGCTCAGAGGTTGTTGGCCGTTGCTATTAGGCA